TGTGGAAGGAGAAGAGGATGGTGTGTGTGTGTGTGTGTGTGTGTGTGTGTGTGTGTGTGTGAACACAGATGCAGTTTCTGGGTTTTTATGTTAAGAGAGTGGAGGAGACAGAACTAGAGTTTAGGGCAACCAAGGAAGCAGATGAGAAAAGTGAGCAGAGGGAGGGGAGCAGAGCCGACAGCTTTGGCATTCACTGCCTCAGCCCAAGGCACCCAGGTCACTGCTGGTGGCCAGGTTAGCTCTACCCATGGCGGAATATCAATATCATCTCCTTACTACTTCCAGGCCTGAGATCACGTGGATAGTGGGTGGTCCCTTTCTCCTGCCAAGTCTTTGGGTGCCTGTGTTTTAGGCTGAAGGGGATCCCTTCTCTAGGGAAGAATCAGCATTTGAGCAATGGTCTATAGGGTCTGCTCAATTGTTAAAACTGGCAGCTGCGACGGTTAATTTCCATGGTCAAACTGCTGAATAAAAAATGCTTAGAGGGCTGGGGATGGTGGTGGGTGACTATAATCCTAGCATTTAGTAGGTAGGGAGTGGTAAGACTATCAAGAGTTCAAGGTCAGTCTCAGCTATATAGCAAAGACCCTGTCAGGAAAGGAGGAAGGAAGGAAGGAGAAAAGGAAGGAAGAAGGGCAGGCAGGCAGGCGGGCAGGCAAAGGCCCTGAGAATTAGTGAGGCATAACCCTTTGGGTGTGTCTCTGAGGGTGCTTCCCAGGGTCAATTAATTTAGAAGGTAAGAGCCGCCCTGAATGTGGGTGGCCACATCCTGCAGTCTGGGGGTTTGGACTGAATTAAAACAACAACAACAACAACAACAACAACAACAACAACAACAACAACAGGGAGGTGAGCTGAGCTCCAGCACTGTCCTTTCTCTGCTTCCTGGTCCTGGGAAATTTGAGAAATCTCCGCTGTGGGCCCCCAAAGCCACGGGCTCTTTTCCACCTCCCTGCCATGGCCAACTTTTGTCCTTCAAGCCACAAACCGCAGTAAACCCTTCTCCCCAAAGCTGCTTTTTGTCAGGTACTTGTCACAGAGATGAGAAGAGTAGCCTCGGAGCCAGGACCCGGAATTTAGTTTCAAGTCTGACACCAGCTTACTGGGTGACCTGTGAGAAGTCATTTAACATCTCTTGGCTACTAGCTTCCACATATGAAATTATCCCTCTAATCGAGAACGGAAACACCTGATAGCAATGAACGCCGGAAACAGGGCATAGGGAGCCCACGTGTTAACAGTGGTAGGTGACCTCCCTCTCCGTATGCCACGGGACATGGGCAGTCCTCATGTTAACAGTGACAAAGTCACTTCACTCTTTATGCTAGCCCACAAGGGACCAGGCTGCTGACAGAATCATCCTGAAAGTTTAAAGAGACCTTTAGAGTCCCCGTCCTGGCTGTATAGATTTTGAACTGCTGAGAGGGTGGGTGGGTCCAGAGTGGTTTTGAACCCCTGACTCAGGTGGAGACCCGAGTGGAAGCAAATGGACCTACAGAGTTGGAAAGGTGAAGGTATCCAGCATAGGCAAGGTGTTTGGCTGCATATGTGTCTGTGTACCACATGCGTGCCTGCTGCCTGAGGAGGTCGGGAGAGGGCATCAGATCCCCTGGAACTGGAGTTACGAACAGCTGTAAGCTGCCACGTAGGCACTGGGAACCGAACCCAGGTCCTCTTCAAGAACCACTAGTGTTCTTCACTACTGTGCCATCTCTCTAGCCCCACCCTGAGGCCCTTTGAACAGGAGTCTCCCCTTTCCACTCTCCTTGCTGCTGAAAGTAGGTAAGGTAATCTCCTTAGCAATCCTCCTTAGCAATCCAGGGGTCAAACTGTTGACCAAGCGGCCAAACCCAGAGGAAGGACTGCAGGGCCCAGCCCGCTCAGCTACAGTCAAATGGGCCAAACCATGGGAGAGAGAGCAAAGGACTGGTGTCCCACAGCCCTGAGGGCCACTGTGGACACTGCCATGCAAGTCTGACCACATCTAGGTGGAGCTCTCTTTTCTGAAACCAGGCTTCCCTTTTACACTGAAGATGCTGTAGTCTAAACCAACGATGCCTCTAGATAAGAACATTCCGTACTAAACATCACAGGCTCACAGAAACATGAGAGACAAGGAACAAATGAAATGATTTATGTGGCAGCAAGCCAGGCAGAGTGGTACAAGCCTATATTCCCGGGGCATGGCAGGCTGCGGCAGGAGGATTGCCGTGGGTTTGAGACCAGCTTGAATTACGGAGAAAACTTTTGTCTTAGAAACAAAAGTAAAATATCCTAAGTAGATAAATCAACAGATGAATAAACGGCAGTGCAAAAAAGCCAACAGGCATGTCTAGCGTGTAGAAAGGGGTTTTGCTTGAGATGAAAGGGATCTGTCTGACAACTAGTTATAACACACGGACCTTGTGTGAGTCCTAATTAAAGCAAAGCAACTGTAGGAAGCATTTTTGAGACAGCTGGGGTAGCTGCAAACGAACTAGGTTAATAACAAAGGCTTGTTAATTTTGTTAGATGTGATAATGGGACAACAGGACATGGCACTGTGGTTACATAAAAAGTGGCCCTATTCTTTCCAAACTGCTCACTGAAGTTTACAGGCACTGGCTGACATACTTGGGGTTCACTCTTCTGGAGTTTTCTAGTTCATCAGAAGAAAAAGAAAACGCGGCAGAGTCTTGGTGATTACTGACTCTGGGGGATGGACTGGGAGGGTTTGCTGTTTGGCTCACTCTATTCTTCTGCCCATTTGACACAGTCCTACAGTAAACACCATTTTCAAGTGTGAAGGCAAGATTCAAGAGTCTCATCAACAAACAAACATGAGTGGGAGCATGGGGGTGATCCTATGTCCCTGCAAAGAAAACACAAACAGCATGCCTTCTCAGGAAGTTCTGTGAAGACAGCACCTTGTCTCTCTCTAAACAAGGACAGCTTACCTTTCATCTTGACGGAGAATTCTCCCAGCAGACTCTCCAGCTCCGCCTCAATGGTGCACATGTTCTGGAAGAGCAGAGGAGATGGTGTTAGGTCCCCCACCCTCCACACTGCAGCTCAAAGCATAAGGCACTTCAACAGTGACAGCATGATCAGAAGGCATTTTCCTGTTTGCTGTGAGTACAAAGTGCAGCCTCCAAGACATGGCTAAGCAAGGCTTCCAGTGCATGGGATAGTTGGAGCTTAGGTGAACAAGTTAAATGATATCAAAAGAGTCAGACAAATACAGAATACGGGATGTTCCATAAGAACAGACTCAGACTGTACAAAAAAAGCAGTATTATTGTGATAGAGGAATCAGCCATACCCAATACATAGGAAGAGATCCATACTCCAGGTTAAATGAGCAGGTCAGCCATGCTATAGTGTGTGCCTGTTTCATAACAACATGTTATATACCACCCCCATGTATCTTTTATTTGCTAAATTAAAAAAGAAAGAAAGAAAGAAAGAAAGAAAGAAAGAAAGAAAGAAAGAAAGAAAGAAAGAAAGAAAGAAAGAAGAAAGCAACCAGGCATAGTGGTATGTGCTTGTAATCCCAGTACAAGGAAGGCAGACAGGCTGACCTCTGGGCTTGTTGGCTTGCCAGCCTAACCTACTGAGAGTTCCAGGCCAGTGAGAAGTTCTGTCTCCAAACAAACAAAACCTAACAAAATGGATGAGGTTTTCGTCTGGTCTCCACACCTGCCTCTTTACACCACACACACACACACACACACACACACACACACACACACACACACACACATTTGGGGGGGTTAGCATAGGAGTTCGATTCTGCTCAAGTGAAGCAGACTTCCTAATGCGATGTCATGAAGCCCAGAATGCCCCCTGGACCTAGTCACTGTTCCCCTCCTCACCGTGGAGCCAAAGGAATGAGAGGTGGACGGTTACAATGCCTAACCACACCCATCCTACTGCCCCAGTATCTGATGGCCTCATGGGAACAGTTAGAGGTGTACTTAAAGTGTCACAGCCCGTATCTGTCACCAGTGAGGGTCTCCTGTGGCTCAGCTGGGGCAAGATTTGGAAGCCTCTCTATTGGGGTAAGCAGCAATGTCCACTGCTTCTGCAAGCTTCTTCCTCACGGCCAGCTTCCCTGAGGCTCGGCCTGTGCAAGTTGCCGTTCTGACAAAAGCGAGGCCCCCATGTGAGTGCGGGCACACGCAGGGCTTCAGGGAGCATTAAAAAGGTCTGAGGCTCCGTGTCCTAGTTGTTTCTTTGTTCTGCTCAGCACCTTTACTCTTGTGGGACACGGAGAAAATGGCTTTACCCGTCCTGTCGCAAGGTCTCAGTACTTCAGAGAGCTTAGCAAAGCTGGGAAGCCTTTCCTCAGGTCTGAGCTCAGAGTAGCTTGAAAGCTTTGAAAAAAAAAATCTCAACAAACAGCTTGCTTCCTCGGAGTCTGGGACCTCTTTGCAAAGGGACAGTTGCTAGACATAACAGATGCATCATCAGGCACGCTGGGACTGCTACTACTGTCTCAAGAACCCAGGGGCCACTAGGTTAACAACCGAAGTCACCCATGGTCAGAACTTCCCATGGATGCAGCCAGGGATGAACGCTGTTACACGTGTGAAAATGCCCCGAGACGTGCTGCGGCAATTACGGGTGTGCTGAAATCACTCGTGATTTCCCTGCTTTGAAACGGTATTGCTTCTTAGAGCTATTGTTGGATCCTGTAATTTTGGTGTGCTCAAAAAGCAGGTCACAGAGCTGGAGAGATGGCTCAGTGGTTAAGAGCACAGGCTGTTCTTCCAGAGGATCCAGGTTCAGTTCCCAGCATCTACACTGTGACTCATAACGACCTGTAACTCCAGCTACAGGGGATCCAGTGCCCTCTTCCAACGATGTCCGAGCTATCTCCATAGCCCTTATTTATTTATCTGAGACAAGTTCTTGCTATGTAGACCTAGCTGGCCTGGGAGTCATTATGCAGCCCAGGGTGGTCTCAAACCTTCTGCAGTTCTCCTGTTTTAGCCTCCAAGTGTCGAGATTCTTTTATGAATTAAACATATTCTTCTGAAAAGGGGATTTAGGCAAAGAAGAGTCTAATGTTAAATCGTGAAAGGAGCAAGACTTGGTTCAGACAAGGGGCAGCCCTATGGTTCCGGCGTAAAGGGACCCTAAGACAGACGCTTGGCTCTACGGTTGTCCACCAGAGCCTGCTGGATCCATGACTCCACGGATGACATTTGATCTCTGAAGAAAGTCTCCAGGAACAGTGAGACATGCAGCTTTAATAATTCAGCCCATTCATCAGGGGCATGCATTAGTGTTAGTTCACCCCTAGAGGGGTGAAAACCTCCCTGTCTGATGCTTGGGCCCCAGGGACAGTCAGAAACCAGGAAGATGCATTTCTGTTCATGGTTCTTTGACATCTTAACATGGGGTTTACTCTTCCTTCAGGGCACACTACGGTATTTGGAAGTGAATTTAAATGATGAAATGTTAGGCCTCATGGCTTAGTTTAGACAATCCCACCACTGTCTTGCTTGCAGTCCCCTACCCCCCACCCCTATACTAGGAGAGGGGCCTCGTGTCTTCCAGATAAATAAATGCTCTACCTCTGACCTAGCTCTTCCTAGCTCTCTTTTTACTTTTTCTTTCTTGTTCTAGTTTGCATTTTGAGCCACGGTCTCACTGAACTGCCCAGCTTGGCTTTGAACTCACACTGTCGTCCAAGTTAGCCTTGAACTTGCAATGCCCCTGCCTCAACTTCCTGAGTAGCTGGGATTACAGGCCTGTGCCAGCAGGCCTGGCTGCATCTGCACGTATCTTCTAGAGTGTGCAATGGGCTTGTGTGCCACTGCTCGCCCTTTTCTGGCAGGGACTAACAGGTCAGATCCAGTCATGGGAAGAGGCTGCAGGGCTTACCTCCGTGTACTCCTTGTAGCTGCGGTTAATCTCCGACAGACTCTCCCGGGCAGCCTTGCTGGCGGGGGATGCCGCAAATGCTTGCTTCATTTTGCTGGCACCATCTTGGAGGCGCCGTTGGATACAGTAGGCTTCATAAAGCTCGTCGACCTGCCAGAGCCCAAACAGGAAAAAGATCAATAGCTGTCATGCTTGAGAGAAGTCCCACAGGCCGCTGTCATGCCCTTAAAGACACACTGTATTTCTGTCTCCAAGAAGCAGAATCTTGCCCAGGGCGAGTGAGTCCTTTAGACCAGTCACTTACTTTCAGCATTATGGGACACGTTTGTCTGTTTGTTTGTTTGTTTGTTTCAAAGCAGATTTTGCTTGAATCATGTTTCCAAATTACATAAGCCGGAAAAGGCCCTTTTGTGTCTTTGAGGCTACCACTGGGATTGTTTCCACGGACTCAGGTAGCTGGACACAGTGGCACACGCCTATAATTCCAGCACTTGGGAGGCTGAGGTAGGAGGGTTGTGGGTTCCAGGCCATTGAGGTCCTGCCTCAAACAAACAAACAAACAACTCCCCCAAAATAAAACAAAACGAAACGAAAGGTAAAGGGAGGTATGGGGGTGGAGGGGAGACAGAGAAGTGGGGGCACACTTGGGTAAATTTGTAGGTCTGTGCTGGACTGTGGAGTTAGACAATGAACACAGGAGCCTGTGGAATAAGCATTGGGAGAGGTCCTGGTTTTCCATTAAAGAAAAAACTTGTAGAATGCAAAGCTGTTATCACTTCAAGAAGTATTGTCAACAGATGATACCTACAAATTTTGGAGTTGATATTTTATTCATTTGTGTGTGTGTGTGTGTGTGTGTGTGTGTGTGTGTGTGTGTGTGCGCGTGTGCAGAAGGCACCAGCAGATGGCGCCAGCCGTCTTCTTCTATCACTCAACCTATTCCTTTGAAGCAAGAGGGGTCTCTCCCTGAACGTGTAGCTCAGGTTTTCTCAGCTAAATTGAAGGCCAGCAAGGCCCAGCCACCTTCCTGTCTTTGCCCCATTTGGAGCTGGGGTTACAGGTATTTGGGGGGTACTCAGCTTGTGGCATGGGTGCTGGGTTCCAAACTCTGCTCCTCATGATTGCGTGATTACATAGCAAGTACTCTTACTCACTGAACTATTTCCGTAGGCCTGGATTCAGCCTATTTTTTTTTTAAATTTTATTTTTAATTATGTGCCTATATACTGTGTGATGTGTGGGCATGTGTACTTGAGTGCAGGTGCCCTTGGAAGCTAGAAGAGGGCATCAGATCCCCTGGAGCTGCAGTTATAGGCAGTTGGGAGCCAAGGGATGTGGGTGCTGGGACTTGAACTGTGCAAGAGCAGCATGTGCTCTTAACCACTGAGACATCTCTCTAGCCCCAGGATTAAGTATTTAAAAACTGAAAATGAGGTTATTTACTGAAAATAATTTTGTGAAGTCATGGGTCAATAGCAGAGAAACTGAAATTAAGTTGTTCAAATTTATCACAGTGCAGTCTCAACAGTGACAAATGACGAGGCTTCCCATTCTTATTTCTCCCCATCTCCCTCCCCATTCCTTCCTCCCTCCCTCCCTCCCTCCCTCCCTCCCTCCCTCCCTCCCTCCCTCTCACCCTCCTTACTTAATTCCTGTCTTTCTTTGGGGTTTTATTTATTTATATTTTATGTGAATGGGTGTTTTGCTTGCATGCATGGCTGTGCACCACATTCATGCCTGGTACCCATGGAAGCCAGAAGATGTTGGATCCCTTGGGACTGGAGTTACAATTGACTGTGAGCCACCATGTGGAGGTTGGGAACTGAACCTGGGTCCTCTGCAAAAGCAGCCAGTGCTCTTAACTGCAGAGTCATTTCTCATCCCCAAGGCGTTCATTTCTATGTTCAGCTTAGGTATCTATTAGTTAAAGGCTCACTGGGCCGCTCGACTCCGGGTGGGCTTGCACTGGGCAGTAACTGAGGGCAGAAACACGGACGCAAAGACAGCATCGGTTACCTTACTGATGTGGAACTCCAGCCGTCGCATGTATCTCTCAATCGTTTTGATTTGCTGGAATTAAAAGGAGAAGGTTGAAAAAGTGCAGCCATTCACAGTGCAATTGATTAGGCTCGCGAGAGCAATCTCATTAGCATGTCCTCCTCCGCACAAGTCCCGGAAATACGGTTCTTACTACTACTTCCTCTTTCCTCCCACCCTGGCCACTATTTTAGGGCTGCTGTAATGTCAATTTTGAAAATATTTTTCAAAACACTGACTGTCACGAGAGATGAGCTTGAACTAATTATAGTCACCCTGCATTTAACACTGGGGTGGCCAATCCACTCCGTTTCTGGTGGAGCAGTCTCATTTTTTGTTTGTGCTAAGCTGAGCCTTTTGCACACTGAGTTGTGTCTGAAACTGGGGTACATTTTGTGATCGTTGTTTGCCCCTGCGGCAGATAGCCATCGGTGTGGGCTCACAGACACAGCTGCTCATGCCAGCCCTGTGAGTTCTAAATATTGTTGTAACATACACTTGAGTTAATTGCCCTTTAAAATATCCTCATGGAGAATATACCACGACAGGCATTGAAATAAAGCTACGTATATAGAACGGCATGGAGAGTGACATTACGCACGGCTAAAAAAGAAGACACACACAAAAAAATCTCACCTATAAAAGGCATGAAACAATTTTGTCAGTAAGAATATATACATTTTACATGAAAAGAAAGAACTAGATTCAATTGGAATAATTTTTTCTATTTTATAATATATTTTTTGAAACATTACATTATATATGGAATATATAGTGGAAAAATATATATTTTAGTGGCCCATAAACAATTGTAGCATTTTCCAATCAGAGGCGCCTCATACTCAAAGGCTGATGCTCACTCATCCTCTTCAGGGAACAAAAAACCAAAACGGATTTTTCTTCCCAAGATGAGAAAATCATCCTTTCTCTGGAATTTTACTGTCCCCCAAAGGGCCTCTTATTGACATCTGCTCAGAGCACAGAGTTTCATCTTTCAGCAGCACCCCAACACAGATAGCCTACCTTGTCTAGGTCATACAGCACACCCTGAAATGAAAAGAAGAGCCCCTGGTTACAACACATCGTAGGGAGAAACCCTGTCCGCTTTAATAAGCGGCTCAGCTCACATTTGTACATTGCCTGAAGGAATCACCAGCCCCACCAAATGCTATTGGATTTTTTTTTTTTTGGATTTGCTTTTAATGAGTAAAACTCAGGGTTATTTGGAGTACTCTCAAGAGCCACCGTTGCCTGACCTCTGCGACTCCACAACTGCACCCTGCTCTTGTGGCCTCTCAGCCGCTTAAGGGTTCATAAAGAAAACCCAGCAAAGTCTACCTGCCAACGAAGCAGAAGATAAACATGTCCTCCCACAGCTGCCAGGGCTGCCAATGCAGACTCCCCTGAGGTTTTCTGCTGCCTTGAAAGGTTAAGGTGTGACAAATAACACTTTGGTATGAACAAAATCAGCCCTCACAAATTCATCGGAATAGAGGATGTTCACCATCCAGCATGGATTCCAATGGGGCTCAAAGGTGCTCTCACTCTGGCTGCTTAGTGACCTTCTTCTCTTCCTTCCCTGGCACCGGCTGAGCTGGTTAGTTTTTGGCACAAGCCAGGGTCGTCTGAGAAGTGGGAATGTCAGTTGAAAAAAATACAATCAGGTTGACATGTAGGCAAGTCTGTGGGGCATTTTCTTAATTAATGATTGGCGTGGGGAGGGTCCCGCCCATTGTGGGCGGTGCCCCTCTTGAACATGTGGTCCTGAGAACTATAAGAAGGCAGGCTGAGCAAGCCACGAGGAGGAAGGCAGTAAAGCAGTGTTCCTCCATGGCCTCTGCTTCCGTTCTGGCCTCCAGGTTCCTGCCCTGACTTCTCTCCGATGCAGGAGAGCCTGTAAGCTGAAACAAACCCCCCTGCAAGTTGCGTTTGGCTGTGGTGTTCATCCTAGCCACAGGAAGCGAACTAGGACACTGACCTATATTTACAAGTTGGAGATAAAGCAAATAAATGTTCTTGTTTCTGAATTCTGAATGTATTAAGAAGGTGCTAGGAAAACAGCAACACATCATTTTGTTATATTGCTTAGAGTTTTCTTCTAAAGATTTATTTATGTATTTTATGTAGACAGGTGCTTTGTCTACAAGCATGTCTGTGCACCAGAAGAGGGTATTGGATCATGAGCCGCCATGTGGGTGCTGGGAATTAAACTCAGGACCTCTGGAAGAACAGCCAGTGCGCTTAACCGCTCAGCCAGCTCTCCAGCACCTCGTAGGGGAATTTTCAAAAACCATCTTTATCGTCTTTATTTCATTATGAAGTATAACTACATAAACACGTAGAGCATACTCAGAAGTACTGAGAATAAAGCATTGAAAAGAAAATCAACTTTTTCCTTTTATTATGATTGCTGTTTTTGTGAGACAAGGTCTCCCTATATGCTAGCCCAGGCTGGCCCTCTTCCTGCCTCAGCCTTCCTGCTGCTCGGGTTACAGGTGTAAGCCACCAAGCTCAGCTCTTCTTCCTTCCAGAACGTGGGCCAGGAGGTAGCTTTGCTCCTTGTGTCTGTTTTTCTTAAGCCTTCCTCCCCTCCCGGCTCCTCCCCACCTGTGGTCATGGAGGAGAGGAAACTCCCACCCTCCACTCTGTGTCAGCATCCTCATGGTCAGAGGGACCTACCAGGCGAGAGTTTCTTTTCATGTCCTTTAGCTGAGTGGTCAGCTTGTCCAGCTCCGTCTGGTGAAACTCCAGGTACTCACTGCAAAGGGAAGATATCATGGTGAGCTCTCACTCCAGGAGAGATTTGGGCAGTTGCTGACCTTTACCTTCTGAGAGGGAGTCAGGCATTGGTTCACACTAATAATCTCAGTGCATGGGAGACTGAAGCAAGACTGTTATGTATTCTAGGCCAGCCTGGGCTTCATAGTAACTCCCAGGCTAGCCTGGGTTACAGAGTGAGACACCTGCCTTTCTCTCCTCTTGAAAAAAGAATCAAAACTTTGCTCTGTGGCTGGGGAGCATCTGGAAGCACCAGTAGCTGCATTTGATCTTGTCTAGTTTGAAGAGAGGGAGAGAGATGAGGGGAGTGCCCCTGGGAGGGTGAAAATCCAGCAATGAAGTCACCTGGGAGGGAAGAGTTAGACAGGACGAGGGTCACACAGTTTTGTCACCTAGTGGGGACTGCAGGTGCCTTACCAAATGCTAGGGAAGCTACCTTCTGGACAAATTGTTCTTATAGCACATTCAGGAAGGTTTCAGACTCCTTTACAGAGTGTTTGCATGTGCATATGTTTGAGGCAGGTTGTATACTAAGCCATCCAGGCTGACTTTGACCTTTGGATAATCCTCCTGACTTGGCCTCCTGAGTGCTGGGTAGAATTACAGGTGTGATCTACTCCACCAGGCTGAGAACCCTTTCCTGGCAATCTCCGGTGCAGCTATGACTGTCCACTACTGTCTAAGTGAAGTCCAACCCTGGGGGGAGCTAGCTATAAACATATCACCATGTCAAGCCGGCTTCAATGTCACGGATACGACGTGCTGTCCCAACCCATCTCGCATCTGTGGGACTAAAAGCTGCCTCAATTATAGAACAAGAAGGAAACACCCAACAAAGTATGCTGACATGCTTTTTTCCTTCTGTGACCCCATCCATCACTTGACAAGTGGAGATGGGATCAGAACTGCAAGGCCATCGTTGTCTACATAGTGAGTTCAAGGCCAGCCTGAGCTGCATTAGACTCTGCCTCAAAAACAAACAAAAGAAGAAAATAGCAGTGGCACACACGGCCGTTTTCAGAACTGCTTTCCTAAGACTACTAGCTTGTAGGAAGGAAAAGGGTTATTTTAGGAAGGAAAAAGGTCCCCTTGCCCCAAGTGCTTTGTCAAGTCCATTATTCTTACTCGAGTCCATTTTTCAAGGCCCTGTAGACCTCCTCTACTCTCTTCGGCTGAGGCTCTTTGGGAGTGTTGTTATTTTTGTGTCCTAAATTGTGCATTTTCTTCAGCTTGGCCTGAGGCTTCTTGAGAGCAGAGGCGTTTTCAATGAAGGAGTTACATCTAGAGAAAGAGAAAGAAGACTGTGAGTCTCAGACATCAAAGAGACCCACAGGGAACTGCCTTTGAAATCTTCCTGCTCTCATCCTAGCGCGCTGGAGGAAGGTAACATGGCCCTGGACAGCAACAGATCCCAGCTGAGCACATTTCAGCTTCTTGATGTTTGTTGAAAGCTCCGCTGAGCAGAGGCTACCCTGGAGGCATAGCCTCGCTTTGGGTTGTGTGCCTTTTGAGGGTGCCCTTGTAGTTTAGCTCACAGGGCGCCAGGGATAAATGGTTCCGGGTGGAAACAGTGAACAGGTAGAAGTTATATCCAACCAAAGGGAAAATTTTTTTTTGCATAGTAACAGATACAAACTTATGTACCTCAGTAGGATATGAGTGACACCTTTTTGGGTTAAGTGCCAAAACATGACCAATAGCTAATTTTCTAGGGCATTAAACAAAAACACATGTAGCTTGTACTCAGAGCTCTCCTTGAAGTATTATTTACCTGATTTTACTTTAATTTTTTTTCATTTTGTTTTTTGCACTGGGGTCTGTGAGTGTGTGTGCAGGTGTTAGTGCATGTGTGTGTACAGGTGCACAGAAGCCAGAAGCTGACTTTTGGGTATCATTCTTTATCATTCTTCTTCTTCTTTTTTAGACAGAGCCTGTCTTTAAGTCTGGGGCTCCCTTGGAAAGGGAGAGCGTCCTGCAGCAAACCAAAGACGACTTTCCTTGCTTCTTACCTTCTCACTCCCTGCACTTCCTCAGTGTTGTGAGAGGGGAGATTCCAGGCAAAGGAGAGGCTAATGTCCCAGCCCCCACCTGAATAACATCAGCTCCCCAGAGTCACTCTGTCTTCACCCACTGCATAATTTCATACCAAACACAGTCTCCCAAACAGGAAGGTAAAGGAAAGTGTGCTTTAAAGGGCGTCGGGAGTGGGGCGGGGCGAGTCTACACTCTCAGGTGTAGCAGGAATCTTCAAAGTTCTTATTAATGAAATCAAACCCCAGGCCAGTTCTTGGGGTGAATACTGGTAGGTCAGAGAGACAGAACAAGCCACAGCTATCTCACCTCGCCGGATCCTCAGCTGGTCTTGTCTCCTTAGACTGGAGGCTTCTGAGTCCTCATCCGGAATGCGTCTCAGCTGAATTACTGCTCAAAAGCCTGAATGCTTAACCAGCCAAATGCTTCTTGTTTCTGGTCCTCACGCCTTATATATCTTTCTGCTTTCTACCACCACTCTCTGGGATTAAAGGCATGTGTCACCATGCTTGGCTGTTTCCAATGTGGCCTTGAACTCACAGAGATCCAGAGGGATTTCTATCTCTGGAATGCTAGGATTAAAGGTGTGAGTGCCACCATTTTCTAGCCTTTGTATCTAGTGGCTGTCTGTTCTCTGACCCCAGATGAATTTATTAGGGTACACAATATTTTGGGGAACACAATACCACCACACTCAGGTCCATGGCTAACTGTGGTACCTATCAGCATACCAAAGTGCATGCTGACCTCCAGGCTCTCAGCACAAAGCACCTGCTAACGGAGTCCACACTGGCACCCTGGCTCTTCTCACCGGCTCTCAGCCCTAAACGTTTCCATCTCACGGGCGTCCCTTCCCCTAGCTTCTGATTCCTACATAGCCCTGCCATTTCAGCCATGCACCCTCTCTGTCCTCCTTTTGCCCCCTTTCTTGGCCTCCTCTCTCACTCCCCTGACCACACACCTGCCCCACGGCCCAGTTGACCCTGATGGCCATGTTCAGTGTACTACTTTCTCTCTAAGCTCTGGATGCTTCCAGATGCCATTGGCTGTACTCTTTCTCATATCTACATTGAAAACCTTCCCCTCAATCACACCTCGGAGTGGTCATGTCCCCCACAGTGAGGACATGACCACTCATAATAGCTAGGATAAGCTAGCCAGTTACGTATGTGTATGTATATACATAAACGGCTAGCTTATTCTAAACCCTCAGACGTCTTTGCACAAGGAATTCTAAGTGATAAAAATGAGAGTACTGAATTCTGGGTGTGTTGCCTTTTCCATGAAGAAGACATTAACTGCCACACACATGCATGTTGGTGAGGCACACACATCAGCGCCCCTGCCTCGTCCTGCCACACCCCAGGAGGAGCACCCAGCACTTGCCTGGACCGCCTCTCCTGCAGGCCGCTAAAACCCGCGAAGGACTGGCTCCGGATGATGCCATTGGGCCCTCCAGGCGAGAAGGACTGGGATCCCACCAGCATGATTTCTGGGAGTCTGGTTGGCAGTCCTGTAAGACAGATGGAAGGCCACGGTGACTGTCTGTCGGCAGGTTCACACAGAAGCACTGAGCTCGTCGACATTCAGAGGTGTGACAAGGTGAAGTGACTCACGAGGTCCTGGTCATGAGGGCCATGAACTGCTTCTAGGCTTCCCTAGAAGGAGACTCATCCACTTACACCAAAATAAATATGAATACACAAAATTGCTGCCACTTAGGTTTCCCTTGTGTGTGGGGGCATATGTATGTGATGCATACACGTATGTTTATGTGTGTTTGCATGTATATGGACATGTGTGCACATGCACGTGGAGACTTGAGGTTGGTGGTAGGACTCTTCTAGATAGTGCTCATCTTGCTCACTGTGGCAGACTCTCAACAGAATGCAGAAATCGACACTATGGCTAGTTTACTTAGCTAGCTCTGGGGATCCCCTGTCCGTCTTCAACTTCACAGGCCGGCTGCTCTGCCTGCCCAGAACTTGTGTGGGTTCTGACAGCTGGCACTTCCTCCTCAAGCCTGCATACTTTATTCACTGAGCCACCCCATCTTCCTAACTGACGTATGTTTCCTTAGGAGTGCCTGTCCGTCCGTCCGTCCTTCCTTCCTCCCTCCCTCCTTTCCTTCCTTCCTTCTTCCCTCCTTCCCTTCCTTCTTTATTTCTTTCTCCCTCTTCCCCTCCCCTCTGCCCTTCCTTCTCCTTCCCCTCACCCCCCTTCTTTCTCAGGCTCAACCTGGGTCTACCAAAGATAAAAACACTTGTGATGGTTCAGTCCATTCAGTTACAACAACACTGTACAAAGGAGCCACCATTAAATTTCCAGATAGTCCAACAACCTGAAATTCAAAACGTAGTCAGGCCTACAGGCGTGATTTTATGGGTAAGGCTGAAAACACGCGGTTTCTTTAAAGATGAACTTACTTAAACCCTTTCCACCTTTCTCTCCTTATTCTGGTAGATGAGACTGTCACTGGGTTGTCTGGGCACATAAGGAAAGGTAGAAGGAGCGCTCACAAAGGAAGTGATAATCTGGTTAGATAAGAAGGCGAGAGAGGTAGGCGGCCACAGGGCGCCCAGTTCTTTTGGATCCTTTCTTCGGCTGCTTGTTTGGCTTTGTGAAGACTCCCCATGACAGACCAAGGTGCGGCATCAAAGCACAACTTCAGCAGGACGAAGCCCAAGGTTAGTCCCCCAAGGGACTGTCCTAGAACTGTGAGGTAACCCTACCCACCGTCAACCAGGCAGCCTCAAAGCATGTAGCATTTGTTCAGCAGGTGACATCAGCTCAGGCAGGGGCTGAGCTGGCAGGAAAAGGGGAGTGTCCACACTGAAACCCCCAAAGTGGACACGCAGCAATCAGCACCACCCATTGTTCTTTAAGGAACCTAGGAGAAAGAGGGAAAAGCTAGACCCTCAGAGAACAGACTCTGGTCCACACTGCCGCAGGGCTTTAAATCCCTACCCTTCTGGGGAAAGCGTGCCTTGTCGCAGGGGACAAGGTGCTCACGCACTGAAAGGTCAGTCTGGACAGTAAGCTGGCTTTTCCATGGGATGGGACAAAGCCTCACAGCTGCCAAAGACAGAAGGGATTGTCTAGAATTTTAAGTGGAATAAGATAGAAATACGTAAAGGTAACGGACTGTGCACAGTCACCAGGCACAATGGAGCTGCTGCTGGGGACTCCACACAGAAGCCCAGTTTGCCAATTCCTCAACAAGTTCTCACAATGGCTCTCTAGTGTCTACATTTCACCGAGGACATGGCCCTTGGGCTCACAGAGCCGGCCCCACGCAGCATGATGCCACCTGCAAACTTCTAAAAGTCATCAAGAAGGCGCGAAGGCTTGTGTGCGCCTTCTTCACTCCATCGGTTTTTGCCTATTTTCCTCCGGGGCCGGGGATTGAACCCAGGGCCGCCCACGTGCTAGTCAAGGGCTCTACCACTGAGCTACACTCCCACACTTATATTCAAGAATTTCACAACCAAACACGCATCTCATTAAGTCTCAGCTCTACAGATCTTTTAAATGTTATGTTATTATTTTATGTGTATGGTTCTCTTGCTTGCAAGCATGTCTGTGCACCACAAGCTTGAAGTGCTCGCTGAGGCCAGAAGAGGTCGTCAGATCCCCTGGAACTGGAGTCACAGACGGTTGTGAACTGCCAAGCCTCGTGCTGGGAATTGAACTCAGGCTTTCTGGAAGAGCAGCCAGGGCTCTTAACAGTCTTCTCTGCAGCCCCAACTTGATGAATCTTATTAGTGTTGTATCTCATTTTGTAAGTTGTTCAACAGATCCAATGAAGCACAGGTATTTGATTGAAAATGAATAGCGAACTTTAAAGCTGTTTAAAATACTGGACTGTTTCACACTTTCTCGATATTATGTGCATATATTTCTTTGTTTCCTTTCGGTCTGGGTGTTGTGAGATGGAGTTTCACTATGTGGCCCTAACTGTTTTGGAACTTATCCAGCAGCCCAGTCTGACTTTGAACTCATACCGATTCTCCTCCTGCCTTAGTCTTCACACAGCTGGCATTGGAGGCAGGGTCTCACCATGCAGTACTGGCTGGCCTGGAACTCGCTGCATGGAGAAGGCTGGCCTCACACTTGTGATGAAGCTGCCACCTTTGTTCCTGTGTGCTAGCACAGAAGTGTGCTGAAATTGTGTGTGTGTGTGTGTGTGTGTGTGTGTGTGTGTGTGTGTGTTTAACCCAAAAGATTATTTGTTCCTTTCTTATTCTTTTCATCAGTAGATTAAGCTACAGTGGCCTGGCTCGAAGCCTCAGGCATTCTAGGATAATTAATATAGGCAATGACCTGTTTATACAGCTGTTCAAAAGGCCCCTCAGGTGATTTTGATGCTGAGCGGAGCTGGGAAGACACTGCTTTAGAAATTCCATTACACAATCAGTTGCACTAATGATAGACTTGAAACAAAAGAGAAGAAAAGAGCGGAGGAAAACCTGTCATGTTGGGTAAAATGTAAAACTTAGAGGAACATTACAGTTTAACAAGTCCAAATGTTTTCTTAAATCTTAGTCTTCACTTTATTTTTATTTTGTATTCCTTTATTTATTTTGAGGCTGGCTGCTATACAACTCAGGCTGGCCCGGAGCTCACTATGGCCCAGGCTTGGCCTCAGTCTCCTGAGTGCTGGGATTACTGTGCCCCGTGCCTGGCCTGTTCTTCAGTCTTAGGCCCCTGTCTGCAAAGTTCCGGCGACACATTAGCTGAATGAAATGCCGTGTGACGAAACCTGTGTCCCAGACAGTGCAGTCTGCTCATTTCTCCTGTCTGTCACTGGCATGAAAGCATCTAAGAGTAGGTGTTTGGGCAGGGTTTTAGGATGTACATGCTTTGGAGGGTGAAGCATCACTCAGAAACATTTTGTTAATTTCCCGGAGTAGGTAACTGTTAGGAGCAAGGCTGGGGTGAGGGTTTGACTTCATCTCTCCATCCTGACAATGATTTTTATCTACCAGGAAAGAATTTGAGA